GCAAAACTGATATTTGTAATTACAACACAAATCATAGAAATCACATTCATCATTCATCACAATCGCATAATACAACCAAATCCACATATAATACATGTATGTTACTTTATATGCCTACATCAAGTAATGTACTTCAGCTTCCAGGTCAACGATCCCCCTCTCGATTAGGTTTTTTCCCAGTTTCCCCAAACCATTGAGCAAATGCTGAGATGGCCCCTCGTTTTGCTTCTGGACATAGATGTAGCGTCTCTACACGTTTTGTTGAGCTCTCCATTCGCTTGTAGTGGTAGCAGTAGAGCCGGCAATGTGTTTCTATCTTGCAATGTCACCAGAATTGCGAAAAATTGTTTATTATTTACAAAAGAAATACATACATTTGTCCAAATAGAAAAATTAACACAGAAATAAAAAGGCTTCCATTTACCAAATTCAATTGCTTATATATAAGCAAGTGTGTGCGTGTGCAGGTCCCTGTGCATGTGTGTGTGTGTGTGTACACATATACAATTGCTTATACATAGTACACTGGCAACCATGGTTTATATCACATGTTTATATAGCAGTAATTTTCATTTAGCAAAATTGGTGACCTTCTTTTGCCCCAAGGGACTGTATCTGCTTGTTGATGCAATTTAATAATGTGGTGATGCAATCACTATGCTATGTTGCAATTTTGTCGCAGGCTAAGTTGCATTGTCTGGTAATCCTGTAGATGTATTTGTACCATACATTTTTTAGGTAAGCCGAGCATTTCCGATTCTGAACAGACCACACCCCCCCCAATTAGTTTAGATTTCTGGGGTTCTACTGTGTATGTATGCGTAATTATTTCCAAGGCACTGGAACACTGTTCTGTAAAGTTTGCCAGGAATCAAGCTAACCATATATATCAGAAAACACTTTATACAAAATCATTTAACAGAGAGGATTTGCTAAATTAATATAATTCTTAGTATGTCAATGTTTAAATTATCTGCGAGTTTACACATTCTCCATAATGGTGAGTTATAGAATTAGTGTGTCTTTGCAAAATGTGTTGTAAAATATATTTGCTTGTTAATTTGAAGATTTATTGTTGATTAATTGTTATTCATTTGTAATTTTGCCTGCAGTGTACATCAAAATCAAAATCATTCTCTAATAACTTATATAAAAAGTATTTCACATTATTTCCTGTGGGTCTTTAATAAACTAAAGTTTATTAATGAGGCCACTATACTGTAATCGTGACTAATTCTTGGTGAGGGCATTTGCAATTTCCATGTTTCACAATGAAGAAGTTTGTGTTGTATACTTTCTAATTTTTGAACCATATTATTAAAAATAGGCAACCATACTGGGGATGCTTACATAAAGGCGGCTTAATTAGAGACAAAAATACATTTTTGAAAGACCCATGTTTGAAAAAGCAGTTGTCATTCATGAAATGAATCCAAATAAACAATTTGTTTTCCGTGAATATTGGATGAGAATTTGTTTCGGTTCAAAGAGGACCCAAGATCTTTTATCAGTGAGACCACTTCAAGATTTTGCACATTGATTGAATATGTAAATTTTATATTTGACATTCTAGAAATAGTCATGATTTTACATTTCTGTATATCTAGATTTAGTTTATTTGTTTTACACCATAAAACCAATAAATATAAAGTTTTTTAAAGTTTTAAGCAGTCTTCAAATGATTTAACTTCAGAGAATAACTTGAAATTATCCACACATGTAAAAAGCAAGCAAGTAGAAAGAGTAAATTTCAGATCATTTATAAATATATACATAATGGGAACCCTGTGGAATGCCAGAGACCATTATGTCTCTTGAAACAAACTATTTATATTTTACATTTAGAACCCTACGTATAAATAGTTTTCAATCCATTTCAAAACGTTACGTGTATTCTGAAGTTACAGTTTCTTTATTAATGTTTTATGGTTGATGGTATTGGAAAAATGCTGAAGAGAAATCTGCATAAATTGTATCAACCTGTTAATTTGACACTAATTTTTCCAAAGTTTAAAGTTGGAACAATAATAAATTTGTCAATGTCGAACGTTGGTGTTTAAAGCCATGACTTTTGTCTATAAGAATATTTTTTACAGAAACTGTGAGTTAATCTGTTATGATAGATTCAAATAATTTTGGTATTCTACTCAATTTTGACAGATCTGTAATTCTTTGTATATGAATAATCATCAGATTTATGAGTAGGTGTTGCTCCTTTTTCAGACAGATGGAAAAGAACCCTTCAAAATTGATTTTGAAAATAGGTAGTGTAGTATTGGAGTTAAAGTAGTTTGACAAGTTTCCAAAAATACTGGGGGTATTTCATTTGGCCTACTTCCCATTTTAGTGTTTAATTTTCCAATTTATGTGAAAATATCAAGTGTTGTAATTTGAATACGAGATATATTAATTTTGGAGTAATTATAATTGTTTTCTATTTCTTTATCAGTATCATCCATGGTGTATCGTGATTCAAAGAAATTAGTGAATAAATTCACCATTTCCTTTTTCGTTTCAACTCTGATACTTTTGAAGGGCATAGCATTTGCTAACCATTTATTCCCTTAGTGGAGTGTGTAAATTTTTAAAATCATTTATTATCATAATGAACATTGGATTCTATTTTAAATATGTAAAATTTATAACCATAAATAGCTCTCTGGATACTCAATGGATATCAGAAATATTTTTAAATCATTATCGCTCAAAGATTTATAAGTAGAGTAGGTTTTAGATTTTATTTTTAATAACCTTTTTTATTCACATGAATACCATGATGGATAAGAGCTGGAGATAAAGATGGATAAGAGTCAGTTTTGGAACATGTTCACCAATTATTTTACATGTTTTATCATAAAAATATGGAAGAGCTTATTTCAAGGAATAGTGTTGACAATGTGGAAGCCAATAATTTGGTGATAATCAGCACTTTCAAATTTATATTTGATATCATACTATTCAAGACCTGTGAATTTTTTCACTCGTTGAGAATATAATATCTAAGGCAGGATGATGTGGATCACGAGGAAGAAACGAACAAACAGAACATTTCATTACACTATTTTCATCCTCAACAAATATCAAGTGTTCTCTTATTAATATTAAGGATGTTGTTGGTTTGAAACAAATTTAAATAATTTAATGAAAATAAAAGTATTGAGGTTGGTATAAGTTCATCGAACAGAGCATCAAAAAATTCACTTACCAATTTAGAGTTAACATAAATCCAAATTACATGTGGCAAATTAAAGTAACCAGTAATAAGACATTTGGTTGTTGGATTTAATTAAAGAATTTGATGATTCATAATTACTGAGATTTCCTCAAACATAAAAATGACTCTCATATTTTGGGGGAAAGAAGAAAAAAAGTGGAAAAAAGAAATAGGCCAGTAATTTTGAATTTCATTGTTATTGCTTTTTTTAAATAGTGGCTTAATTAGAGACGTTTTGAAAATATTTGGAAATGTTTTGGTCCATAACGTTGCATTAAATGTGAGTCCAAAGTTGTGTATGATGACAGGTGCGCAAGTCTTTAAGAAAGAATCTGGAAATTGATCTAAACCAGCCAAATATTAATTTTTTAGTTTACTTATTATTTTGAGAATTTGATAGGAAGAAGTTTTGAAAACAAACATCATGTCTAAATTTTTTGGTGAAATGTCTGTTGTTGAATTTTGGGGCTTAATACCTATATTCAGCAGCATTTCTTGAAAAATATTTATTGAAAGACTAACCATTGTTGCCGGATCATTTACTCCTCTGTCATTATCTTTTAAAACAACGTTCTCTACAGGATTGCTAGTTGATATGATCATTTTTGTACTCTATTCTATGTTGCTTTTGTTTTTTAATTGATTTCAACATGATCATGTTTCATGATTTTAGCCTGCCTTATGCCTTTTCTTGACAATGATTTGTATTTTTGGATGTAGTGATAGAAATCACGAGATACATTATAATACTTAGAAATGAAATAAAAACATCATGTGTTTGTTTTTACATCATGTTCTAATTCCTCCTGGTATACAAGAATTGCTCTTCTGTGAAATGCTTAATTTTCTTTTTTTCAAGAGGAAAGCATGTGTAAAAATGAAATGAAAGTATTGAGAAAAGGAATTATATTTATCATTTGTACCTACATTATTGAAAACCAAGCCGCATGATTCCTGCAGTGGTTTTGTTCATAATTATTTGATGCCTGCTGTGAATGAAGGGTAGTCTATGTATGTTCATTTATTGTAATATCAAAGCTGAAGGAAGTAATTACATTAAAAAACTACCCGTTTTTGGAAGATTCGACCAGAAAATCAATTTCAATTCAAAAGAGTTTCAATCGCGGACTTTGTATAGAGTAATATGTAGTCTTTCTAAGAAAGTGTTATGTTCTGTAGCTCACTTAGTAAGGTTTCAATCTGTAATGATCTGTAATGTAAGGAATATAAATATGTGAGGAAGTATGGGCCTTTGGAGCTCACATAGTTAACGCTTTAAAGAATATTTCTTAATTTGACATTGTATATATTGGAAAGCAATTTGTAATTGAGTGGCCCTATACAAACCGATAAAATGTTCGAAACATTCATTATGATTGTTGCATTTTGCTTTTAAATGAAATTTATTAACGTAATAAAACAAACAAATTTGACAGTGATACTGTTTTGTTTTCGTTAATTTTAAATTTTTGCATCTTCTTTTAAGATAGAGAAGACTAGTGTTGTCTAAATCACAGTTTACTGAAAACATCATCTGAATTACGTTGATTCTGGATTTGTAAAAATCACATGATTCTAACAAAGAGGTGGATGTTGTTGGTGTTTATGATGATAATGATCGATATATTCAAACTTTTAACAAATTCAGATTGCTTGGTTGACTTTATAGAATATTACTAAGAAATAGGACTTCTACCAATTATTATAACGATGTTTTGAGACAATCGTTTATAATTCAGTCATTTGTAAAAATAATAAGAACAAATATTTTCCATTTTGTTATTAGGGAAGATATGTATGCACAAGATAGTATTGACTTACTGCAAAATTCTGGAATTCAATTTAAGAAACATGAAGAAGAAGGGATTGACCCACTTGAATTTGCAGAATTACTTATGACATCTGGTATTGTACTTATGGACAACATCAAATGGTTATCTTTTCACAGGTAAGAATGGATTTCAAAGTTGATTGTATTTTATCATGAGTACTTGTTTCTTAAAGAAGAGATTAATACTTGATAACTTCTTCTAGTGGCTACGATTTTGGCTACCTTTTGAAGTTGCTTACGGATCAGAATCTTCCTCAAGAAGAGAGTGACTTCTTTGAACTTCTTCGAATATATTTTCCTACAGTTTATGATGTAAAGGTATGTATATTTTTGTCATATTACCTACTTTGAAGCCATCTTTTGACAGTGTCAGGATTTCTATCTTTTCTTAAGCCTGCTTTTCGTGTGTAGATTTTTCCTTTTAACTGCATTAATAAATTTAACATATCTTTAATCTCTCTCTCTTCTTTAGTTCTTTTTTCTCATAGTCATTTCTCTGCTGTTGTTGTAGAGAGATATTGACTATACCACATACAGAAAAAATACAATTGAAAAAAAAAATATGGATGAATCTATAGAAATATTCTTTCTGATTTTGAAGAGAAACTTTCCAAAATTTGCTTCTCAAAAATGTTTTTGAAAAATGCTTCCCCCCCTGGAAGTATATATTTTTGTTGTTGTTATTGTTGTTGTTGTTATTATTATTATTATTATTATTATTATTAATTTATTTATTTATTTATTTATTTGTTGCGTCTTTGCAACACATTCATTTAATCCTTCTTGGGCACCAAGAAGTGAGTTTGTGTATGTTGTGAGCATTGAGTGTATTGGAGTTATCCTCCATTAACTTTTTTGCGTTGTCATGACTCAGCCGGTCAGTGTCTTTTTATACCTTCGACCAAGGGCTAGGCGCTGTTAGTAACTGGGTTTACCAGACGTTCACCCATTGAAGAACTTGTGGTGTCTCGAATTGTTTAAGTTCTGTGACTTCGTGGACCACTTAAGTAATTCGGCTATTTTGTAAACAATGTGACAAGAAATTGTTGGAATTTTACTTTAGATGTGGCAATGATAAAAAAGGCTTTGGTAGAATACAAAACTCAAATTCATAGTAAATGTGTTACATGTTGTGAAGTGCAGTTTGCATACTCATGTTAAGAAGAAAACAAAGTGGATTTGTTTTCAAATTGGTGGATTGTTTTTAATTTTTTTCTATATTGAAATTTTTGCTTAGTGTACCAACTTAGGTTATAATGTTTTATTTTTGCTTGAGAGTAGGCCGACTTGGGCCATGTGTCCTGTCATTTACTGGAACTCGGTACCTTTATCTCAGTGGCAGGTGCATGTAATTTATCATGGGATCAGTATTTAGCTAATCTGATTTTTATCCCCCAGGGTTGTTAGCCCTGGGAGTATGGAAGATGAAATTATGATGATAGGGCTGAAAGGATAACACACACATACAGATATACACAATACAACCATGCCCGAGGCAGGACTCAAACATATGATCTTCTGGTCCAAGCTACAACACTACTGCTTTAGCGATCTCGGCGATCTGATCAGCAGTTGATGTTCTTTATTACTTATTTATTTTTATTATTTACTTATTTATGATAGATGAAGCCAGGAGGTATCCACAGGCTTTCAACATTACATTTCTTTCACTTCACTAATATATCATTAAAGTAGATTAAATCTTGATATAATGTGAAAATGATTAAGATGTATATAATGAATAATATTTATAAACATAAATGTAAATTAAATCCATCTTTACCAGAATATAAGTTGATTCTAAATATAAGACGACCCCTAATTTTAAAGAAGCCTCCTAGACTTTTTAACCCAAAAAACAAAGTGGCCCAAATACCTAATTCTTACCTTTTAGTGAAAATAAAATTGTAAAATGTTTATTTGACTAAAAGTTGCCTTGTTGATGAGAATGTTAAGACCTATTCCTGAACTGTCATTTTCTTGTTCCTTAAAATCATAATCATGTTTTTTGTCACTACCCTCATCATTTACATGTGTCAATGTTTTTATCTTTTTGGTCCTCCTTCCAAGCTGTGACGTCTTCGGACTTTGCTCAGTTTGAGGAGACTTTGCTAAGAAAGTATTTTTTTTATCAACCTTTTCATGGTTGGATGTAGAATATGTATGTCTATCAATTCCATTTTTTGTTTGTTTTATGTCTCTTGCAAAATGCATTTTCTCATTTGCTGGGCATTGAACTGAGATTTCTCATCATCAAACTCACATTGTGTAATAAAATCTTGGCATTCATTTTCACGCTAGAATTCACTTGATACAATGCCATTTGTTCGAGATTTTCTCTTTACTGATTCATTCAATATACAGGTCTGAATTGCCCGGTAAATTCACGTTGAATGTAAGAATACAACCACAAATATAATTACATATTGTAGAAACGTCCAATATTTTTGCTGTCTTCACAGCTTCTTGTTAAGACAATATTATGAGTTTTCTGATACGGAAAGGCAGTGTAAAAAATTAACCCTAACTGACTAGGCTTAATCTGCGAATTTAAAATGACCCCTCATTTTTTAACCGAGATGTTTAGGGAAAAGCCTAGTCTTATATTCAGGTAAAGACAGTTTTATTATATTATTACTATTATTATTATCATTATTATTATTATTATTATTATCATTATCATTATTATTGTTGTTATTATTTAATTATTATTATTAAATTATTATTATTATTATTATTATTATTATTATTATTATTATTATTATTATTATTAATTATTGAATATTACTCATTAATTATACTATTGAATTTAAAAGTATGTGCACACTTATAGTATTTGAAATGTAAATTATTGTGATATCTCTGCAAATTCTATGAATTATTTGCTTGAAAATATTGTTAGGTTGAAAGAAATTAAAACAATCATGTAATTATTGGGGAAATATTTAAAATTCCTCTTTGGGAATTATGTAATATGTTTTTTTTAATAATAGAATAGAATGTTTGGAAGTTGCAGATTTAATTACATTTCAACTGCAAAGTAAATATAACACTAACCATAAATTAATTTTTTTTAATATTCATCATTATAGTAAATAAATAACATCATTATCATAGACCTTCTAAAGTAGACTAACCAACCATCCAAGACTTACACCAGTGCTCCTAGCCCTCAGTTTAATTCTTGGCCATTTAATACCTGGGATACTTACCCAGTTGTCACGCTGCAGAGGCCCATAGGCTCTTAGTGGCACTCTTAAACTTGCTGCAGAAGCCTGGGTTTAGGGTCATGGTGACATTTAGAATATTTTACCGTTTACTGAGATGGCAGATGGAGCACACACTGGAGTTCTCAGGCCTGTTTACTTTGCTTGTTTCATCTGTTCTCTGGGCAAGGAGGAGGAAAGGGAAGAAATGTTGGTTTTAGTAGGTGTTGCACGTGGTTGGGAAAAGCACTAACCCAGTTAGGACACACTGGCAAATATTCATACTACAGAGTGGAATTCCAAAGCACAACCCTTCAAGTCGAGACTGCTAAAGTGTGTGATCTCGGCTACTCAGGCTGGCCTTTAAAATGTACATATTGATGTTGTAGTTTTCAAAATCGAGCAGGATTGTTAACTGTTGTTTTCATAATAGTTTTACCAAAATATTTTTTTATTTGATCAGTACCTATGGAAATCTTAATCATTTGAATCCAGTTATTAAAATCAGCAACTTGCTGAATAAAGAAACCAATGCTTTTGTTTCGGCATACTAGTATTGGTTGAAACACCCTATACACACACATTTCATATGTAAATTTTGTAAGCAATGAATTCAAACAACATACATTTTTACATGATTTTGTAATTTATTTATTTTTAAATGATTTTAGTGTTTGTGTGTGATAACTACCTAGTTTATATGAATATATTTTTTTCTTCCATTGCTCCATTTGTTTGCGACTATGCAGGACTAACAATCTGTATTGATAATCAAATTTTCTTAATTTTCTATAGAAGATCTGGATGTGTAATCACTAATCACAAATAGTCTTTGAACTATAGAGGCACATAGTAACCTTGTAGTTGTAACTGAATCTGTATTCAAATTATCCAGAATGGAATTCAAAATATTGAAAAACCCAGCTCAATATTTCAATTATTTATCAATGTGTATTGGGATTTGCTGCAGCAAATACACAGCACATCCTAGGTTCAATTTACAGTTTGTCCAGTAATTAGCATGTAGTAGGTGGTGGACTTAACACTTCCGGTACCGTATTCCCTTAATCCTGATTCAGCAAATCCACAGCACATAGTAGCTTACAACATAAATTTAATAAATCTTCAACTTGTTTTGGTCACTACACTTCTGATGCCACATTTCCATAATGCTCTTGAGTATTTTCATTTCTCGACTGGGATGCATCCCATTTTAGGTCATATGCCTTTTTATTTCTTAAGGTACTTTTATTTTTTTATTTAATCAAAGCTTATTCACAAAAAATAGTATTTTATTGCAATCAAGGCCTAAAACAAGTCCCTAAAGAAGTAATATTTTTTTCCTTTCCACCAGTTGGGTGTGGAATTAAATTAACTAAACGTGTGACATCCTTTGTGGGGAATGACTGTCTCACTTTGATGGCTTCAATTAAATGACATAAATCACAAAATTTCATCCAAATTTTTGGTGAATTAATTGTAGTGTAAATGTATTGTCTCTGGCTATCTTATTCGTATTGGATTTAGTTTATTATTCCTGCCTAAAAGATGTGTAACTTCTCATCTGGTTGATGAATTAAAGTATTAAAAATGTTATAAAACTAGGCTACATTTGTGAAAAAGAGTAGCTTTTTGTTTCTAAATTCAGTGAGAAACTGCCTACAATAGCTCTTCTCAACTTGATATGATAATTGGGCATCATATGGCACCACAGTGTCTTAATATTCTCAAATAATAGGTGTCAGGCTGTCTTCTGTATAGTTGTTTGTGCTCTCCAGCAACAATTTGTTTTTGTGGCTTTAGTCTTTTTCATTCTCAATGCTTCAATTATAGACAGTAAGGTTGTTTTGGCTCAGGATCCTGTGGTTATACACCTTTAAACTCGTGTTTGTTTTGGTAAAGGTATAATTGCTTTGTGGGTTATTTGATCACTAAAGCTGACCAAATGTAGAAAAATAAATTAAATATACAGAATTAAATAAATGGAGGAAATGTTCAGCATGCTAACATTTCAGCAAGCAAGTTCCAAATATTTTCTTAATGTTTTAGTTTTCGTAATGTCATTAATGTGTTTAGATCAATAGGTCATTATGTGTTTAGGTTAGTGTTGTT